CGGCCGGCCGCGACCTCCGAGGGGGCCCCCGGCGCCGGAGCGGTGCGGGGCGCGGCGCGGGCGGACCATGGCGGACGGGAGGCCGCGGGCCTCACGGAGGGCTGCGGGTCCGCCGGCCGACGGGCACGGGCGCGCGGCTTCGGGAAGGCGCGGAGCGGGACCGCGGCGGGGGACGCGCCGCTGAGGGGTCGCCGCGGCCGAACCACTGCAGCGAACGGGGAAGCCCGGCGCCAACCAACGCGAAGCTAGGGGCGGGGAGGGGGGCCGGCGCCTACCAACGTGGAGGAAAAGGGGAGCCGGGAACCGACCAACGCGGGAGGAGAGGCGGTGCCGGCGAAACCAACGGGCTATGCAGAGGGGGAACCGGCGCTGTCAACCCTGACGGAGGACCGGGAAGGGGGTGTGGCTGGGCGGTACCAAGAAGGTCAGGGAGGGAGGATTGCAGACTTGGAAATGACGAGAGGGAAATCTGTGCCTCAGAGTTCGGGTTTTCAGGCTTATGGCACGACACCAAGTCCTCATTACTGGAGGGACAGGAACCTGCCGATAGGCTGGGGGATAGATGGAGGAGCCAGGCGTTCTTGCGCCTTGGAGGCGGTGAGGTGGCAAAGTACATAAGAATACAACTCCCAACAGGCCTCGCGCGGCCTGGGAGGGACCTAGGGGCCAGGCCTAGCTGCATGTCCATTTGCCTAGGGTCCACCCACTGTCCCTTGCGCCTTCCAGCAGTTGTCGCTTCCAGATCACCGTCTTGATCTGAAAGGACTGTGCAGTGGTAGTTCTTGCTTCAGTTTGTTTTTCACCTGTGATATTATCCAGCCCTAGAGTACCTGAGCTCAAACTCATAAGTGTTTGGCGTTGTATCTACTCAAATGTTAGTTTATGTAGCCCAGGCTGACCTCGAACTCCTAAGCTCCTTCTTCACTTTGATTCTACGGTGTTCTGCCTGGCTACTTGATACACTGCTTTGACCAAACTGTATCAGACTCCTCACAGCACTTACCACAAGCTATGTCGGTCAACTGGAACAAATGCCCCGAGGCCGTGAGCTGGCTTTATTTAACCCCATGTTTTATGACTGATTAAAGGATAACCTGGGAGGGAACAGCAAGAACAGGGTGTGCTGGTAGAGGGCCTTGCCTGCCATCGTCAACCTGGTTCAATCTTCCTAACCCGCATGTGGGAGGAACAAGCCGAGCCCTACAAAGGACTCCCTGAGCCCCACACGTGTCCCGTGACACATGTGCTCATCGAGAATTCTGAGTCTGCTTGGACTACAAGATGAACAACTAACTGAGCATGGTGGCCTGGCCTCAAAAAAAAGAGGAGAGAAGACTTGGGAGTAGCAGAAACAGCATTAATAATAAAAAAAAAAAAAAAAAAAAAAAAAAAAAAAAAATCAGGAGTTGAAGGTCATCCTCAGCAACCTAGTGAGATTGAAGGCAGTCACAAAAATAACTCATCTAGGCGGTGCCCAAGACTGGTTGGTGGAGGGCAGGATGGCTGCAATGGAGTTGATCGGTGGCAACAGCTAATTTTGGAGCTGAGCCCAAAGGCTTTGCAGGGAGCCTGGGACAAAGGTGAAGGACACAGCCAAGGATGATATTCACTGAGGCAGGAAGTCAGACTGAAGAACAGGTGGGACAGAACTGTCAAGGGGGAGCAATTTGTTTTGTTTTTCGAGACAGGGTTTCTCTGTGTAATCCTGGCTATCCTAAGAACTTGCTCTGTACACCAGGCTGGCCTCAAGATCACAGAGATCCACCTGCCTCTGGCTCCCAGGCGCTGGGATCATAGGCCCGAACCACCACTGTACAGCCCACTACCAACTTTTTTAAGCCTTTCAAGTTTGTGGCCTTCCAGGGCTACACATTTGAGAGACTGAAAAAAGGGAAGCGGTGGAGAAATGGCTGGGCAATTCACGTTTGCTGCTCTTCAGTACCCAGGTTTGATTCCCAGCGTCTATGTGGCAGCTCACATATACCTGTAATTCCAGTTCCAGATCTACAGGCAAGGATATACAGACATACATGCAGGACAAACAACCACAAACAAGAAAAAAAAAAAAAGAAACATTTAAAATAGATTACAGAAAGAAAAACGAACGTGTGGAGTCTTTGTAAATGAGACCACACAGAACGTGTGTTATGAGTTATGGACACAAACTGGGTCACTCTGTCCCTGTAGCAACAGCCATGGACAAGATGCAAAGACAGGCATGGCCGGCTTCCAGTTGGAATATAGCCTGGATTAAGGCCAGATGGCCAATGGGTGTTTAAAGACCCCACCAGAAGTTAAGCATTAACAGGAAGCCAAGTCCCATCACTAACCTGTGTCTGAGCACTCCTCACCAGCAGCAAGGAGGAGAAAAGCCTGCCCCTCTACTCCAGCCCTCATGATTCCTAACTAGCCTCTCTAATCAAAATCTTAAAACAAGAACTGGGAAGCCTTGGTGCTCATGGATCTTATTCCTTTGTCTCTCTGAGACAAGATCTCATCCTTCTGTAATTACAAGACTGCGTCACCATGCCCAGCATGAATCTCTGACTTCTCACTTAACTCTTCAGGGGCACTTCAGGCGCTGGCAACATGGCCAGTTGGTAAAGTTGCTAGCTGCCAAGCCTGGGGACCTGAGTTTGGTCCCTGGGAACCCTCTGACCTCCACATGTACATCTTGCCACATGCAGTAAGCGAAATGAACAACAGTAAGCAAAAGACTCTCCAGTCTCCGGTTAACCGACTTCTACTTTTTAGCTGACAGTCACACAAGTCAACTGGCACTTCTGGCCGCTCCTGTCTGGTCCAGAGCCCCTGTGGGTCACAGGTCCTAACTGAGGAAATAAACCTGCTCAGCAGATAGGGGCCACCATCTCTACAGTCTACCCAGATCCTGAGAGCAAATATGGCCTTCTACAGATAGGCCCTAGGGAGAGCTGGTGCTTGGCCAGATCAGCTTACATTTTGGTTTCTTTTCTTAGAAAAGGAGCAATAGACAGGCGGTAATGGTGCACACCTGTGATCCCAGCACTCGGAAGGCTGAGGCAGGGGGATCTCCGAGTTGAGGCCAGCCTGGTCTACAGAGCAAGGAAAAAAGAAAAAAAAAGGAATAATACCTCCCAAACACCTCAAGAGCCATGAACCTGACAACTGTTCTCCACTTTCCACATCCTGATGTGTGCATGCTGCAGATGGGAAGTAAGACCTTGCACAGAAAGTTCAAACCTACACAGCCTTGCCTTGAGCTCCTTACAGGAGAATTCTGTAGGCAGAAGCTCTACAATGACCACATCCTGAGCCTGCAACCTGGCTGGTTGGATAAGAGAAAGGGAAGTATGAAGAGACTGTCATTTTGTTATCTAGTCTTTCTTTAAAAAATATATACTTAATGGCACTTTATGGAGCTCAGGACTTTCTGACAACCGGAAAATGAGTTTTAGAGACTTGATGTATATTGAAACATTCTTCAAATACCCCTTTGTTTCTTGTTTTTGTCTCCTCAGCTGGCCTGGAACTATGAAGGCTTGCCTAAAACTTCCTGATACAAAGCAACCAACCACACTGCAAAACTCTAAACAGGCCCTTCTCATGCTGGCTGCAGTCAGCTAACTGCTTTGTTGTGCACTTTGGCCCCTTCTTGCTCTAAGAGGGTTTTGGTCAGTAGCCACAGTCCCCAGCTCTATGTGCTACGACACAACCTTTCTGTCTTTAGAGTTCGGGGACAGGGCACTACCGACCTGATGAAGGTAAGGCTGACACAGCACCCTGTTCAGGAGCTGGGAGGACAAGTCAGTGCCTCAACTGTTCTTTTCTTTTTGTGTGTGTGCATGTGTGTGGGTGTCCTTGGAGGCCAGCAGAGTCAGTCCCTCCTGGAACTGAAAGTTACAGGTGTTTGTGAGTCATGTGACATGGGTGCTAGGAATTGAACTTGGATCCTCTGTAAGAGCAGTACCCATTCTTGTTTGTTTGTTTTGTTTTTCTCTATGTAGCCCTGGCTGTCCTGGACTCACTTTGTAGACCAGGCTGGCCTTGAACTCAAGAGATCCATCTGCTTCTGGCTGTCCACACGCTGGGATCACATGCACATGCCACAGTGCCCAGCGCAGTACTCTAACAGCTAAGCCCCTTCTCCATCACAGTCATTTTTTTTCCAAGACAGAGTTTCTCTGTGTAGCCCTCGTTGTATTGGAACTCTGTAGACCAAGCTGGCCTTGAACTCACAGAAATGCTGGGATTAAAGGCTTACGCCACCACCCAGGCTTTGAGGGCAAACCTGCGTTTCCCTAGAACTTCAGCCTGCTGCCTCTCCCCCTACTGATTACTCAGTTCACCTTCAGAAAATCTCACTGCTTCTCCCGGCTTCCTGATCACTGCCCACACCTCACATATGGGTCTCCATTGAGGCTGTGTCCTGGTTCTGGAGTCTCCTTCTTCCAAAGGTCGCAAAATGGTGGCCTAGTGGTCTGTTGAGACCCACAGCGGATTTTGTTTGGTCCTCGGTGTGTGGTTTTGGTTTGAAGGCCACCAGGCGGGGCAAGCAGAGGTTCGCCACAGTCCCTAGCACCGCACGTCTCCGGGCCACAGGCCCACCGGCTGCACAGCCACGTCACCACCTTGCCTTCAGGTCTTCAGCGCACCTGGGTCCCTGTTCTTTCATTATGAGAATCACCCAGGGCGGGTGTAGGAGAGAACCAGCCCTCAGGGGCCAGGCTGTCACACAAGTGGGTAGATTAGTTAGGGAGAAGAAAGCCCACGGCCAGAAAGATAATCAAATTGGATCTTTACTGAGCTATGGTGAACGCATGGAATACAACACAAACACGTATGACACCAGAGTTCATACTTTAAATTCAAAATTGAAAAAATACAAATTGAAAAATAGAAATATTTAGGTATTAAAATTTCTCTCTTGTAACTCTCTTGTGCCTTTGAGCGGAGGAGGCTAGGAGGCTGACAACTGCCGTCCTACACCCAGATGTCAGGACTGGCACTGGATGGGAGAGATAGGCAGATGGGAATTCAACCCTGATCCTTAAAACGGAATTTTCGATTAAGGTCTGTAACGGAAAACAGTGACTGTCACAAGCGTGGGCAGCCAGCCACTCAGGACACTGCTGGGTAGAGGCACGGGCACCTCACCATCCTGCAGAACTGCAAGCGCCCTGCAAGTCAGCACTGGGGTCTGCGTTCACATAACCCTACGGGCGAGCTAGCCAGCGGCAGCTCAGCTTCAAGTAGTGTGCGGCCCTTGGGGGGGGGGGGCTTGGTCTTGGGTCTCACAGTGTGGGTAACAGGTCCTGGCCGCCTCTCACTTTCAGAAACCAGCTGCAGTAAGGGTAGACAGCCCCACTGCTCCTTGCCAGTGGCTTCCATCTGCGAGGACCACCCCGCAGTCATACATTCAGGAGCTGTTTGTAAATACCCCTTCTAAGACGGACTCAGTGTTCAGAAGGGTGGGAGCCTCAACCAGAAGTGTCTAACTGACCTTCAGGGAACCAGGACAGGGCTCTGCACACTGTGAAGTGAACCATACATGCCAGTTTGGGTCTCCTGCACATCCTCGTCTCAGGCGATCGGCTCAGTTCAAGTACAGGAAAGCCAGAGTCAAGGCGTCGTGGTGTTTCTTAGAGTGTCTCAATTCCTGGTTATTGAGTCTAGGACCTGACCTGGGTCCTTACAAACAGTGTCACTTGGGATGGAGGTATGGGACAGCCCGATCTCCAGGATGGGACTATAGTTGTGCTTATGGATTCTGATGAGTGTGCATGAACAAGAGCCACTTCAAAGTGAGGGGCTGGCTTGGTGCCACCTCACAGACTTCCTCACTTGCATGGAGATCACCACCACCACTGATAAACAGAGCTAACCACGTGGTCGGAGTTTCTGCGCAGCCATTGAACAGCCACAGCTGTGGCTCAGGCAAGCGGATCCATAAGGCCTCTGACTCCTGTGCATTTAAGCCTGCAAAAGCTTGTCAGACTCACAGGACAGCCTTGAGGATGGACTTCTTCAAGACACGGGAGTCCTTTCCACAGCACTCCATGGCTCCTAGTCCTGGGTCTCCAGTGCCTCGCTGGCTCTGAGGGCCCTTTTCAGCTCCTGCAGGAGCGTGTCGCGGCTCTGCGCTGTGTACTGGCTGTAGCTCTTACTGTGCTGGGACTCATAGTGGCGCTTCAGGTTGTACTCTTTCAGCACTGACACGTTTTTTTTGCATATTAAGCACGTAGGAATGCTCTTCACTTCCACAAAGAAATAGTCTCGCTCCCATTTTTCTCGAAACACGCGACCCTCTCCTTCTCTCTTTCGTTTGGCCACTTTTGAAGGAGACATGGGTACAAGAAAGGTTTCACTTTTCTCTGAATGCTACCACAGAACCACCATGGTGCCAGCCCCGTGACTGAGGCAAGGCCCCTGCCTCACCGTGGAAAAGCAAGAGAGAGTGGTGGGGACTGTGGCGAACCCAGAGCATGAGCCCACTGATGGGGGGCAGCCCCAGCTACTCATGCCAGGCAGAGGGTAGGCCCTGGGTGTCAGTCTTCCGACACATTAAGAGGAACAAGACTGCAGATTGTGCGTGTGCAAATTTTACTTGAGCTTTACAGCTAACTGGTAGGAAGGAAGTGACACATGCTAACACAGGGAAGGCCAAACAAAACTCATCTGTGGTGGCCCTGGGCCACTAGTTTGCAGCCTCGCTCCTGGAATGGGTGGGTGACCTGCCCATTAACCAGCTTCACAAACCCAGGCAGTGGTGGTCCAGGCACGGACCACACTAAGGACAACAGGTGCCTGTGTGACAAGCATCTCACTCCACCTCCAGGGGAAACCACCTCACACAGGCCTGAGGACACCCTGCAAGACAGGGGCTACTCCACTTATCCACAACTACAGCTGGAACCCAGTGCTCTGCGTCCAACCTTGACTGCTATGGCTTCAGGAACAGCACACTCATCCCATGGGGACATCCTGATTTCCTGGTGTGGTGTGTGTCGCCTGAACACTTCCATGACCTTGCCTCTTGCCTGCTCTGCTCCTACAAACCAGACAGCCTTCCTGACACCTGCCCCATTGGTGCTCCTGCATCTGGAGGGCAAATCTCCACCTCTGGCTCCTCCCTGAAACGTTCATGCTCCAAGAACATCCACCTCCTGGCCTTGCATGTCCCTTCTCTGTGTTTTGGCTATCTGCACCTAGGTCCCTCCTGGCTCCCAATTGCTGCTTCTCCTTCCAGGCTCCTCGGAACCCTGGCTGGGTCAGAGGCATTCTGGGCTCTGTAACCCTCGAGTGCACATGAGCTGTACACTACCTGTCCACCTGCCTCCAAGTCTCTCAGAACCAGGCCATACCATGCTGCCTCCAACTCACCCCAGGGCCCAGCATCACCCAGCCGGGGCCTTGGGGAGTCTGCAAGGCAAGAGCAAAGACAGCCCTAGGGGCGTCAGTGACGGGAGCCGGGCATTGTTAAAAGGAACTTTATTGGGTGTTGGGTTCAGATGAGGTCCATGAGGATGTCGTCCTCCATGACGCTGGGCTGCAGGCCCGGCTGGGGGACCGGGCCCCGGGGACCCCCGCTCAGCAGCATCTGACCTGGGGGGCAGTGGGAAGGGACTACATCTCCCAGTGGTCCCTGGGGCCACTGAGGACCCTGGGCCTCTTATCCCACCTCCTCTGGGAACTGAAGGCAGTCAAGTTTCTAGGAAGCTCCAGAGACCACCAGAGGTCCTTCTAAGCCCAACTAAACACAGATACTTTTCTTTGACCCTTTGGGAGCCCTTTCCCCACACAGCTTCACTGACCCTAAGACATCTTCCAGCACCCTAGGACAGCACATAATAATTTTGGGGAGTTTTCACCCAGTGGGGCCTTGTTCCATGGCTGAACTTCCCAACAGCCCTCTGAAGCCCCTCGAGCTATGGGAGGCCTTTTGGAAATGGGGTCCTTGCCAGTGGCTTCAGAGACTATAAGTCTAGAACCCTGCCCACCCCTGGTACACCCTTACCTGGCAGTGGCGCCCGCTGGGGAAGCTGTGCGGGCCAAGACTGGGCAGTTGGAGGGTGCAGGAGTTGCGGCCCCAGCTGGGGCTGCCCCAGGCTCTGATGTGGTGGCAGCAGTGCGGGGGCGCCTGGAGGCTGCAGGTGGTGGAGGGAGGCCTGGGGTGGTACCCCAGTCTGGGGCTGAGGCAGACAAAGAAGAGCTCAGGGGATCCAGTCTCAACTCCAGGAAGGCCCTCCTACCTGGGAGCCTGGTCTAGCCCACCTCTTCCTCCCAGAGACACTGGGTCAGACCCTGCCAATTCCCGATGCTCCATCCCAAGTCTCACCGGTGGTGGGTTAAGGAGGAGGCTCCGAAGCTGGGGGTTGGCCCCAGGGTTCTGAGGCCGAAGGATGGGTCCAGAAGGAGGTGGGCCCGGGGCTGTTCCAGGAGGACCCTGGGGTGCCCCTGTGGGGGCCTGGGTAGTACCTTGGGGCTGGGGCTGCCCTGTAGCTGCAGAGGCTCCCACAGCACCCTGAGGCTGGGGCTGTGATGCACGGAGCTGTAGCTGGGGAACAGACAGCGTGAGGAAGGCAGACAGCAGGGTGGCTGCCCCAAGTCCACCCACCTCCATCCCCAACCCCACCAATCCCCACCCCAGTCCTCACTAGATTCTGCGGGGGCCTCGCTTGGTCCTCCAGAATGGGGCCCAGGCCTGGAGGTGCCTGCTGTGCCCCCATCTGCACGGGGACAGAGAGGATAGGTCAGTGATGACAGGAGGCTATCTGACCCTGTTGGGAGGACCTGGTGTGCAGAAGGGTGCCTTTCTCTGGGGCACCACCTAGGAAGTGCATCATACCCTGCCTCATGACACAGGTGGGCCCTGTGTCAGGGATTTGAAGTGGGCACTGAGAAGGGACTAAAGCTGCTCTGCTGGGACACAAGGGGGCATGGGACTCAGGTGAGCTGTCTTGGCACTAACAGAGGAAGCCATGACTGGCTGGGCTCTGGGGAGCTATGAGAGAGCACTGGCTTGCCATCACCACACTCACCCCTCGCTGCTGCTCCAGCTTCTGCTGCTGGACCTGCTTGTGGTTGGTGATGACCTGGCGGATGCCATTGACGAAGCCGCTCTGGTCATAGGGGATGAGGCCCATGAAGATCTTCTTCTTAGACGAGTACAGGAGCATGAGCACGCGCACCTCGCATGGGGCTGTATGCGGGAAGTGCACACAGCCCGCCTGTGGACAGCCACTCTTCAGAACCTGTCTACCAGAGAACACCACAAACCCCTCCCCATTCCATAAAACTCTACAATACAAGCCCTATGGGCAAGAGGTGGGAAGGTCTCTCTGTACAAAGAGGGCAGATATGCTTGGCATCTGACCCAGAAACAAAGGCTGAGAGTGACAGGCCATAAACTAGGCACTCAAAGGGCATAGCAAGATCGAGGCACCTGCTGACCACTGAAGAGAGGGAGAGACAGTAGGCCACAAAAGACCCTGCCCGAGTGCCTCCACCTCAGCTCTCCCTGCCACACAGCTCTGGCTGCCTCCCCAAATCACTTTGAAAAGGGCTCTGCTGAAGAGGTTACCAGGAAGGTAAGGCTAGGCCCTTGAGAGTGGCTATATCTCTGCCATAGCATGTGGCAGCATGGACCAGGAAACAGTGACATCCCAAGGCAGCCATTTTTGGAGTCAGAGTGGCCCCACATGTTCTCAGTCTGTGGCTATCTGGGTTCTGCCTGCAGCTGTGGCTCATTAACATACACCCTCTCTACCATCCAGCACAGAATTGGGGACTGCCACCCAGGCCAGCATACAGGTGAGTGCCTTCCCCTACAAGGGGTACAGCCTAGAAACCCAACTCTGGCCAGATAAAAGGAGGCCCGGCCAGAAGTTCTGGACCTTTCTCATTTCCTGAAGAAGGAGGTTATTGGCACTGCTACTTCCACATGCTTCAAGGGTACGCAGAAGCTGAGGTAGCTATCTTGTGCCCGCCAGAGGCCTGGACATGGCATGGCTGAGCTCACCGCTGGGTGCTGTTGTGCAGCAAGAACATCAGTTCCTACCACAACCACTCTTGAACTTTCCCTCAGAGTTCAGCTGCGTTGATGGGCCACACCACCGAGGGTTCTGGGCCCAGCTGAGCCTCCTTGTAACAGCCCCAGCAGAATCCCCATGCTCATGTCCCACAGACATGAAAGACAACGGTGCTGGAAGAGGTGAAAAGGGCTGAGGGGCTGATGACACACAATACTCTCTGCCTGGAAAAGCTGGGCCCAGAAGTCACTGAGCCTGGAGAGCTAGTGAGATGACTCAGCAGTTAAGAGCATTGTTGTTCCAAAGGACCTGGGTTCAATTCCCAGCACCCACATGGCAGTTCACAACTGTCTGTAACCACAATTCCAAGGGATCTGACACCTTCACACTAATGCACATAAAATAAAATTAAGTAAATTAAAAAACAAAAAACAGAGGTTGTCCCTGGAACTAATGGCATGCACACTGACACCTGTGTCTTCCCCAAACCCAAGTTTCAACCCACTGGCACCCAGGAAGGTGAGGGGATTTGGACAATACCTCCACAACAGGTTAAATGAGCCATTAGGGCAGGCCTTATTCAACAAAGTGGAGTACAGATAAGAAAAAAGCCAGCAAAGTCAGGTCAGATTACACATTTACAAACGCAGCTCTCGGGCGCTGGAGGCAGGAGGGCGTGCAGGTGGAGGCCTTGATACCCAGCAAGACTTTTCCCAAGTCAACAACCACCACCCAGCGCCATGGGACAGGGATGTAGTAGGCGCTAGAACACATGGTTAAGCAAGACCCAGGTTCCATCTGCATGGTCACAAATGGAGGCCAGGGCGAGGGTACCAGCAGTCCCTGGGGCCTAGGGAGCTTTGGGGGCCTCAAGTCGGCAGAGAAGGCAGTCAGTGCCCACCCAGTGCCCACTACTCACAAAGCCATTGCCCATAATGCGATAGAGGCCTTTGAGGGACTCCAGGTCCTTGTTGGTGAAGTGGAACTGGACCATTCTCGAATTCCGGAACAGAGGGCCCAGGGTAGTCTGGAAACATACAGGCATCACATGGGGGCAACACCAGGAGTGGAGAACACAGGATGAGGGTCAGGCAGGCCTTGGCCTGAGGACTCACCAGCAGCTGCTGTGGGATGAGTTGCATGATCAGTTTCTGGGGCCATTGCTCAGTCTTCCTGGAAGGTAAGATAGGGAAAGGAGTCAGGAGAGTCAGGCTGAGCCAGCCCCACCCCCGACAAATACCTACAGGTTTTCTCCATGGTTCACATAGACCTGGCAAGGCAGAGACCTCGTCAGCTTGGTGTTAGCATCCACAGATGCAGGCTTGGGTTTCTGAGAGAAAAAGGATGAATCAGCCAAAGCCTACTGACTCAACCTTCACCAGCCCCACAGCTCCACCTCCTCAGCAACCCCACACTCAGGCTTCCAAAGTCCACAAATGCTGGGTCCCTCTTGAGGGCTCAAATCATATAATCACTATCTTCCACAGTCACAATATGTAGGACCCTTTTGAGAGCCCAAATTCTAGGTTTTGCTGCGTATGAGAGAGAGAGAGGCAGCAAGAGAGAAAGAAAGAGAGGGCAGGCACGGTAGCATATGCCTGTAATCCCAGCACTCTGGGAGGTGGAGGCAGGCAGATGTCTGTGAGTTTCAAGGCCAGCCTGGTCTACAAAGGGAGTCCAGGACAGCCAAGGTTACACAGAAAAACCCTGTTTCAAAAAAAAGAAAGAAAAAAGGGGAGAGAGAGAGAGAGAGAAAGAAAGAAAGGCAGGAAGAGAAAGAAAAAGAGACAGAGAAACAGAAAGACTAGGGATGGAGAACTGGTGGCAACTGCTCAACCACTGAGACCCACATATATAATATATGTACATACATAATAGATGTTGTTGTTGTTGTTTGTTTTTTGAAACAGGGTCTCGCTGTCCTAACACTCTCTCTCTAGAAAAGGCTGGCCTCAAACTCAGATTCCCCTGCCTCTGCCTCCCCACTGCTGCATTGAAAGCATTTGCCACTATGTCTGTCTTCAACATAGTTTTTAAACCCCAAATTGATACCAGGTGCACAAATCCTAGCATCCCCCTGGACTAACCTCCAGCTGCATGTGCTGAGCACTCTGGGAGCTGCCAACTTCCCACACCACCACCAAGCTCTAAACCCACTCACCTCCTGCCACTCGAGGACCCCACTCCAGGCCAGGAGCTTGTTAGTCACTGACTGTTGCCCACCAAGAGCAGGAGCCCCAAGCTGGGCTGGTGTAGGACCACTGACCCCACCTGGGGCCACAGTGCCTGCCTGCTGAAGAGGACAAATGGCAATGAGGGAATCATGCCATCTCTGAGAGTGGTCACCCTAAAAGGAGCAGGAGGAAGGTTCCTTCCTTCATACCTCCACCATGTTAAGGACATCCATGCCAACCATGAGAAACCCGACTCCCCAAACTACAGAGTTGCCAGAGTTCCTCGGGACAGTTCAGAGCCCACAGCCCTGGCCTAGAGCTGCAAAGCACAGCCATTAGCCTCCATGTTGTGCCCAGGCCCCTTGTAGAAGGCCACATACTTCACCCACTGTGAGCACATGGCAGGGGATCAGGGCTGGGTACTTTGAGGACACCTACCATAGGAGGAGCCCCAGGCTGCGCAGGGGGTGCCAGGCCTGGTCCAGGGGCCACTGTGGACACTAGGCTAGGCTGAGAAGCAGGAGGTGGCTTTGGGGCTCCAGGGGGCCCAGAAGCCAGTGGGGGTGCTGGAGCCTGGCTGAAGGGGGGTCCCACTCCTGAAGCAGCTTGCTGGAGAGGGTTGATGGGTGAGACTGTGGACAAGACAAGCATGAGTGGGGAAAAGGGCCAAAAAGCCAGTGAAGCCACCCCCTCTGCCTCTTCCAGGACTCACAGCGTTGGCCCAGCCCAGCCTTCTGGTTCTTGGCAGCCTCCACAGCGTTCTGCGCAGCCACCTGAGCAGCACTGAGGTTCCCGGGGACCTGTCACATGGGAGAAGACCACATACCCCTACAACTAGGTACTGTGGCACACAAGGCAAATACAGCGCTCTGACGACCCCAGAGCTTTGCCACTATCACCACAGAGGCCATTCCCGTCCTGTGCAGGCCCTTCATACAGCAATCCCAATGCTTCACTGGGTCCTCCCAGGAGGCCACAGCTCTGCAAGGCCCCAGAAGCTGGTCCCTGAGAACATCCATACCTGGTACTGTGGTGGGACAGGGGGCAGAGCCTGTTGGGGAGCTGCTGAGAGTGTGGCAGCTGAGGGTGGAGCTGTTGGCAGGGGGACTGCTTGCTTGGACTGCAGAGGGCCTGGGGCTGAGCTGCCACCAACTGAGCACAGGAAAGACAGCCGAGGTCCGAGAGAAAGGGTTGGAGGTAGAAAGAGGAATTTTCAAAAATCCTGTTAAGAGAGTGCTGAAGAGGACCCCCTCCATGTCCTGTGCCTAGGCCTCACCGGGCAACACGAGCCCTCGCACCAGCACCATGTGCCTCGGGTCCTGGCTTACATCTGCTGGTGGCTGCAATGGCTCTAGCAGGGCAGGAGGAGCTGCCTTCTCGAACAGAAGCCGAAGGGCCGGCAGCTTTCTCGGAGACACGATGGAGAAGTGGATGCCACGCTGCAGAAAGGGACAAGGTAAGGCTGGGGTCTCCAGAAGTGTGTTGGGGCTAGCCTATTCCCCACTGCATGGTGGGACAGCCTGGCCCTAAAACCACAATGTTCATCAGACTGTTGGGAAATGGATGGTGAGACCTGGCATTAGTTTCCGCAGAGAATTCTGAGTATGGACAATCCTAAACAGGCATGGGGTTTTTGCTTATGTTTTGTCCCAGGTTTTCAGACCCCAGCCTGCTTCCTGGGATCCAGAGGTATAGGCCCTCCTACACAGCACCCCACCTCACCTCTCCTATCTTCTGCACCAGGCTCTCTGTTGTACAGCCCGAGTATGTGGTGCTCTCCACAGCAGGCAGGAGGTACGGGGGCGAGTTGCAGATGAGGAGACAGACTCGGTGTGTCTGGCCACTGCAGGGACAAAGTCATGGTATGGAGCAGATACTCCAAGCTAGTGGCAACTGAAGGTCACGTCTGCATCCACTGACACTTACAGCTCTCAAGACATGAGCTTCTGGTCAGAAGGCACAGGCCTGCCCTGGCCTACACAGCTGCTGTTCCCTACCCTGGGTGAGGACTGAGGACTTCCCAGGAGGTGGGCACACTCACATCTGTTCACGCATCTTCTTGAAGTCATCAAACAGCTGCAGGGCTGTGCTCAGACCCTCAGCAATGAGGCTGCAACTCTCACCACCACCACCCATGAACCTGGAACAGCCAGTCAGACAAGGAAAGGGCATCAACAAGAAGGAACAGAAGGACCCAAGACCGTGAGCGTGGTCTGTGCTTCCAAGTCCCACTGTGCCCATGCCCTGACCATCCTCCAGAGCGTCCCTTCCTAAATGGGTCATCTGTTTCATTGTTTTTTTTCCCTTTCTCATTCTTTCTCTCTCTCTTTCTTTCTTTCATTCTTTCTCCCTACTCCCCCACAGGGTCTCATTCACTATGTAGCTCTCGATGTCTTGAAACTATGTGATCCTGGCTGACCCTGAACTCAAGGCATCCACCTGCCTCTGCCTTCTAAGTACTGGTAACAAAGGTGTGCACCACCATGTTTGGCTTCCGGTGGATTTTGTTTCTATTTTATATGTATGGGTGTTCTGTCTGAATATATTATCTGTACACTACACATATACTTGGTGCCCTTAAAGGCCAGGAAAGGGCAAGAGAGCACCTAAAACTGGAGTTACAAGTGGGAGTGAGCTGGAATCAAACCTGGGTCCTATGGAAAAGCAGCCACTGAGTGCTCTTAACTACTGAGCCATCTCTCCAGTCTCTTTTAGAAACAGTTGGCAATCTTCCTCAGTCTCCTAAATGCTGGCAGGAGCAGGAGCATGAGCATGATACAGCCTCCCGCTTCCTCCCATAGTGATGTGGTCAGGAACCACAGGAACTCAGTGTTATCGTCCTGGAACAGGCTCTCTATACAAGTAATGGAAGAGACAGAGAGGAATCACAGGACTCTGATCCAAAGACATGTCTATGTCTATGAAAAAGGGGAAAGTGGCAAGCAGATGTGGACAAGACACTAGCAGCCAGACAGGTCAGGAAGGAGCCTTTCCCCAAAGTGCCAGTGGCTTTTCACACAGCCAGTACTGTGACCTTGGACTTGCAGCCTCCACACTGTTTTCAAACATGGCTTCTGGTACTTTTCTATGGCAGCCTAGGAAGCCCAACCCATGTCCCCCTCCATGGTGACCTGAGAAAGCCACTGTTCTAGCACAACTGCTACTACCACCATTCTCTGGGCTGCCTCTGCCACAGAACTCCTGCGTGGACACCACAGCCCTACACTGCTAAACTGTGGTCTCATGTCTGCCCCTGTTTTCCCCCACCGGCAGGGTCAGGGTCTGAGTCCTGTCATTTCTTGCCCCCAGCCTGGCCCACCTGTCTGGCCCATTAAGAGGCCTTCAATAGAAATGGTTGGTAAATGAATAAATGGCTGTCCGGCCAGCAAAGCCTTTAGTTTTGCATAGCCTTTAGCTATCCTCCTGCTCTGTGTCCTTTGACAGGCCTGCAGAATGGCTGATGTACCTGTCTTTGCCCAGACTCCTTCCCAAAGCTACTACACTCTGGCTAGGTGAAAACCCAAGTTATCTACCCTGACACGTGCTCAGCCTGCCCTCCACCAGAAAGCCCACTCACCTGACTCCAGCAGCGCAGCACAGGCCATCCCTGCCCTGTGGGGATGCTACATAGCCACTCCTCTACTCCCACCCTTCAAAGCTACCTTTGCAGCCTTCACTGGGGGGCCAACCACTGGAGACAGCTCTCCGATCTGTAGAGCTCACATTAGGCTTTGCACATGACTGGATGAACGGATGCGCCTGAAACCTCTCGGGGTCCCACACCATCTCCTGAGGCTCACGCACCCTGGGACTTGCTGCTTGCCCCATTCTCTCACAGGGACCCTGCCCTGGTCCTTCACCTGCTGCATGACCCTCTTCTTCCTCAGAAGCAAAAATTTTTATTGGTGCTTTCTAGTTTTGAGACTGGGTTTAGATGGCCCAAACTGGCCTTGGACCAACCAGCCTAAGACTGGTTCTAAACTACCACATTCAGCTGCAGCAAACATTTTAGGGCTGCAGAGTGAGAGCAGAGCCAAAGACCAAGACAACCCCATATCCAGTCTACTCCCTAGCTTCCGGCTCCTGAAGAAAGCAAACCACAAATTACTCAGCCTCCCTGAAACCTGCCTGAGGCAAGGGACCAGGAAACAGCTAACTGGGAGTTGCAGAAACATGCTATACTGTAACAGAGGCTGCGCTTGCCTGGATCTGAGGGCACTGGAGGTTGCGCAACTGCACCGCTGTTCAGAGCTGTCCACTGTATTTTAATAATATAATTAAAAAAAAAAACTCTCAAAACATAGGTGATGGGTCTACAGATGACTCAGCAGGTAAGAGCTCAGCTGCTTTTCTAGAGAACCCAGTCCCAGCATCCACATGGCAGCTCACAACCCTCTGTAACTCCAGTTCCAGGGACTCGGATGTAGAAGAGGGGGATACAGTGCCTCCGAGGCCAGGTACATGTGTGGTGCACAGACATAACCACAGGCAAAACAATCATAAACTTAAACAAGTGGACCCAGGTGGCACAGTGTGTACCAGAGAGGCAAAAGATTAAGGGTTTGGGGCCAGACCAGTCCTCCAGGACACAGCTCAATCAAAGCGCTTGCTTAGCCAATGTGGGCAGCAAGTGAGCGGCCATATGCTGAGCTTCCAGACACAAGGCCTAGGTTCTGTTCCCAGCACAGAAGAATAAAAACATGGCCGCGAGCCTGATGACCTGAGTCAGATCCCTGGAACCCAGCCGACTCCTGCAAGGAAGTAGTCTGCGCGCGTGCACACGCAGGCATGTGTGCGAACACTTTAAAAATACGTTTTAAAAGTCACTCAGGTGATACAGCTGCCTTTGTCCTCTAACCCATCACCATGTCCTGCCCGAGGGGCCCTGGCCAAAATGAGCAAGTGCGAACAGCAGCTCCGCAGGGCCCAGGACAGCGCCTGGACCTGGTGACTCAACGTTGTGCCACACACCTTTGTGAGTCAGTGAATAGATGACACCCAAGAAAAGGCACTGTCAGCTGAGAGCCATGGGACACACACTGTAACCTCAACCCTGTCCTTTCTGAGTCAAATGTGGAAAGGGCGGCCTGGCTCCTGGCAGGAAGAAAGCGTAACACCGGACTTCTTAGCAGCACGGCTACTCCCTAAATGTGCTGCACACCGCGTCCCCAAGCGGGAACAAGGCCTGCGACTCTCATCCTATCTAGCCCTACCCAGAACATCTTGGACATGGATCACAGGCCCTGATCAAAGCAGCAGTCCCCGGAAAGCCCAACAATGCCAAAACGCCCAGCAGCACCAGAGGCCTCCAGAGTCTGTGTTTACAGGATTCTGGGTGGAGAAGGGGGGAACACAGAGCACTGTCCAGGCGGCATCCCCCTCTTATCTTCAGGGCCCATGGCAGCCTTTTCCCTGAAGAAGGGGCCTGCTCTTCCTACAGTCAGCACCATGGAAGTCTGATCTCTTTGAGGGTTTTTTCCAGCAGCCATCACTCACTGTTTACAAAAATAAGACCCCTTCAAGCCTCGTGGGGGCAGACGCTACTTGGAAGCAGCCCAGAAAAGAAATAACAGGCACCTGGACTGCCAGAGAGGGCCAGAAATGGAAGTAGTGACAGGAACACAGGAAGTCACAGAAGCAGATGGCACTGGCTGCACTGGTTCCCAAACTCAGGTCTGACCAAACGTGACGGGAACCTCATACGCAGCAACCCCGATGTGCAGCGATGATGGCCATCACTGGAGTCTCACCTCAGTCCAGACAGTTCCCAACTAAAGCACCACAGGTTGTCTAGGAGTCACTTGACAATGCTACTTCCCAGGGTATCCCTGGCAGCTAGGAGGTAAAAGCCTCTGCTACTTTGTGGGTTCCTCTTTTCCCCATCCTTTATCACCCCCCACTTTGTTTCATCCCCCCATCACTAGAGAGGAGAGAAAGAAGGATGCTAGAGCTTGAGGCAAATCAGAGTCAGCTGCTGCCAACAGTCTGAAGCAACTTCATATCCCCACATCTGGGATCAAGACAAAAAAACATATTCTTATATTTCTGTATTTTTTAAGGAAACAAAAATTCCAGAATTCTCACTATAGAAGCTGTTAGACAGTCTCCAAGGGCTGGGATATGGCTCAGCAGCAGAGGACTCACCTAGCTGGACAAGGCCCTGGGTTCCGTCCCCAGCAGCAGCACCAAACAAACAAACAGTATTACACAGTACCCAGGACAGGCCTCACAACAAAGAAATTCCTAGCTTGGGGGCTGGAGAGATGGCTCAGCAGTTAGGAGTACTGGGTCCTGCTCTTCCAGAGTGTCCAGGTTCTTTTCCCAAAACCCACATGGCAGTTCACAACTGTCTGTAACTCCAGTTCCAGATGATCCGGCACCCTCACACAGACATACATGCAGACAAAACATCAATGCACTTTGTTTGTTTGTTTGTTTTTGGGGGGAGGTTGCAAGGGTGGAGGGTGACTACAAGGGGACGGGGAGATGAGTGGGACTGGGGTGCATGATGTGAAACTCACAAAGAATCAATTAAAAGGTTTTTTAAGAATAATAAAGCTTGCTGGAGAGATGGCTCAGCAGTTAAGAGCACTGACTGCTCTTCCAGAGGACCCGGGTTCAATTCCAGCCCCCACATGGCTGCTCACAACTGTAACTCCAAGATCTGCCACCCTCACATAGACATACATGCAAGCAAAAGAACAATGCACATTTAAAAAAAAAAAAAGAATAATAAAGCTTAAGACATAAAAAAAAAATCAATGCACAAAAAAAAATAAAAAAATATATATAAATATAAATATATATATATATAAAAAAATAAAAAAATAAATATTCCAAGCCAGGTATAGTGGCTCAGACCAGAAAACCTAACACTGAAGAGGCTGAGGCAGGAAGATGAAAGGTTAAAAGCCAGCTCTTGCTACACAGGGACTTTCTGGCTAACCTGGAAAATACAATTTAAAAAATAGATTAAGGGCTAGAGAAATGGATCAGCAATCAGAGCACTACTGAGATAGTATCTCTGCACACTGTATAAAGTTGGTCTCTGCATTATTCAAATGCTGATTTCTTTGACTGCAGATCTGATTCAGGCCAGACCTTGGCACTGTCTCAATGTTCTCCATCACCTTCTGATTGGTTACTAAAGAGCTAAACAGCCGATAGCTGGACAGGACAGTTAAAGTGAGACTTCCAATTCCAGTGACGGGGTGAGTCTCAGGTGGGGACCAGGGGGAGGAGAGCCTCATTGGAACACAGGTGAAGCAGGTCCCAGAGAGAGAGAGACTAAGATGGCGGGGAAGGGGCCAGGCGGTGGGAAGTAGGCCGAGCTAGTGGTAGAGTAGCTGAGTCTCTGTCCAGCTATAGTGCCTGAAGCTTTTCATAAATACAAAAGCCGTGTCATTACTCAGGAGTTAGGGCGAACACAGAAAAAAACCTTGCATTTATTTTACAGAGTACCGGCTGTTCTTCCAGAGGACAGTTGGACTCCCGGCACCCACATGGCAGCTCACACTGTTTAACTCCAGCTCCAGGGAGTTACCTTGGCCTCTAAGGGCAGCAGACACACATTAAACAAAAACAAAAACAAAAAAATCCAAGTGCCAAGAATGGGAAGCCATGCTTCCCAACAACTTCCAAGGAGAGTGCAAGAGCCAGCTTTCCATGCCACCTAGCACGTGTCACACAGACACACACACACACACAGCAGGCATTTAACCCACACCTGATTTATCAAAGCCGGAAGGGTAAGAGCTGACAGGGAACTAGAGCAGCCCCTTCAAATGAACCACAGCCAGACTGTGGGATCCACGGGAGAGACGAGCTTTGGTGACCCTGCCAGCACTCAGCAGTCCCGCTGCCACTCACTCATCTGCGAACCAAACAAGAACAGGCAAGCAGCAACAGCAGCTCACCCACCCGCTGCTCACTGTGTGGGGCACCAGTGCCCCCAGGGACCACTGCTCACCCATTCCTGTCTGGAACAGACTCATCCAGCAAACAGCTGGTGACAAAAATAACAGTGTGTCACTTCCTCATCAAAAAAATCTGGTGGCTTCATCTTTGCCCTCTGAGTTTGCTCATTCACTCTGAGCAGAGCCAGCTGCCAGTCTGGGCATCAAACTGCCACATGTGAGGGCATGGTGGCAAAGAGCCAGCAAGGAACTAAGGCTCTGTCGGGCCACAGAACAAGCCATAGTGGATGTGGATCCTTGGCATGCAGGGAGTGGCCGACTACTCTCAGTCCTCTGAGAGCAGACCATCAACACGGCCGAGCTTATCGGCCTGTGTTCCTGACTCACACATGACTTCACAAGGCGGCAACTGTTTTGTCTGAAACCATTAAACTGGTGGAAACCTGATATGCAGCAACAGAAACCCAATAGCACAAAGAACAAATACAAGTGCTACTTGTATTTCTGAATTTCTCCAATTCAGAAAGAACAGGCAGCACAAAGGAAGGGGCCTGGGACCCTGCAGCAAGAGAGCTCTGTTTGAAGAAACCATGGCTCTACTCCAGGCTGCCTGGCTCCACAAGACAGGCCATTGGTGGCACACATCTGTAATCCCAGCAACCAGAAAGTGGAGGCACTAAGGATCAGGAATTCAAGGCCAGTCTCAGCTACACTATCAGCTATGACCCAACCCACAGGAGAAACTCTCTTGGCCTAGACCCTTCCTGCAGACTCCTCTGGAGTAGACGAGGAGGAAAGAGGGGAGAAGGGAAGCTGATATGGCACACTCAGGCACAGACCGTGTTCTGCTCAGTCAGCAGCTCCTGCAGCTCAAGCACAGGCCACGCCCACAGTCTGTCCTGGGATCCCCAACCTGCCCAAAATGAAGGCAAAGCTCACTTGATGCCATCGAGCCAGGTGACAAACTCATAGGCGCTGCTGGTAGGAGCGTGACATTGTACGTAGGACTCTGGGGCGCAGTCAACTGTGTTGAACACCACAAGGCTGTACTGGGTTCCACCATACTGGGAGGACAAAAGAACTCTAAAAGTGAGAGATCTTTGGCAAGGGAAGGGGCCTTCCAACTTCATTTTAGAAATTAATTCTGAATCCCTCTTCCCTCAGACCCAGGCCTCGGGACTCCATCTGTCCTCCCTCAGACCCAGGGATCTACGGGCCTCCGCCCCGTGACTCGGCCGCACACTCACGTCGCCCCCGAAGTCCGTCTCTGCAGGCGGTCCCCCGTTGAAGTACCTGCAAAGGAGGGGTAAGGGCGGCGTCGGCGCAAGCTTAGGTAGGTTAGGGCGGCGGGGGGCGACCCGGGCTCTCACTCACTCTATGGCGGGCAGCAGGTAGTGCTTGCGGAGCTCCTCGAAGTACGGCCCCAGGTTTGCTGTCCCCTCGATCACGAACACCACGTCCGCCACCAGGCCCCCGGCCCGGGCCGGGCCTTCGGATCCGGGGACCATGCCCCGCGCCGCCGCCGCCAGCGTCGCCGCCGCCGCCGTCGCCGTCCCGGGACGGGCAGAAGTGCGCTTGCGCGGAGCGCGCACCCCCGCCGGACGTCTGGCAGCTTTTGCGGACGCTGATGCGGCCATGTTTGTGCGGGGCATCGGGCTCTTGGTGGTTTTATCCCTACCCTGGTGCATACCCATACCACGAAACTCTCAGAACGGGCACAACGAGCCTCTTCAGGGGCCTCCTGAGCTCGAGCAAACTTTTATGCACAAGGTCAAGCACGAAATTAAGCGAAAAACGGCACATCCGGCCACCATCTTGGAGTCGATCTCGAGTTTCCGACTCCGGGCTAAAGGGAAGGGTCAGGGAGCCAGGTTGCTAGGCAACGCGTAGCCGGCCTTTGTGTTCTCACACTTAGATTAAGTTAATAAATTCTATTCTTTCTGACAGGGAACCTATAGGAGAGAGTCGCCCAATCACAGCACCCGAGATGACGTTGCCAGGCAACACTGTAAAGTTGCAGTCAACTTGGAAGCCAAGGCAGTTTTCGCTGGAAAAAGAAGCGAATTCCAACTTAAGTGGAGGTTGCTAGGCAACATCTGAGCCTTCTTTTCTGGGGAAAAAAGCCAGAAACCTACTCAAAGCAAATACATTTTTTTTTTTTTTTTTTTTACAAAATAACAATACTAAAAACAAAATAACAAATGAATAAAAAGTGTAATAGAAATACATGGTATATTCTCAGCATTGCAACTAACTTACGGCATAAGCCAAAATGAACATAAAATGACCTGGAAAATAATTGTGACATACGTGTGGACAGAAATTTACTAAATAAACCTTACTAATATAAAAAGATACAAAGCCAGGCTGTGAGGATGCATGCCTTGAATCCCAGCCCACAGCAGATGCAAGTTGATCTGAGTTCCAAGACAGCCCAATCTACACAGAGAGGTTCAGGACAGCGAGGGCTACACAGAGAAACCTTGTTTCTAAAAATAAAACAAGAAAAAAGATATAAGCACATTTTTAAAATGCGGGTGGTGGGTGTTAGCATTTAGGCAGCACAGTTCTCGGTTGCCTAGTAACCTATGAAGTCATCATGTGTGCCGGACAGATGTTACAGATGCGGTTAAACTGCGCAAGAGCTATAAATGGGCCGAGGCCCACGGCCCATTACCTTTCTCTTGCACTCTCCTGCTCTCTCCCTTTTCTCTGTCAGGGTGCCCCTTCCCCTCCCACCACGTCTCTCTCTTTTCCTCTCTCTCCATTTCCATCCAATAAACCTCTATCTGTTGTGCCCATCATTTCTAAAATAATAACAGTGTGGATCCGAATTCAATCCTCAATTGCAAACACTATAGCAATGAGACATTTTCCCTGCCGCTGGTTTTTGGTGAGTTTCCCTTCCGCTCCCCCCCACCCCCATAGGGTTTCTCTGCAGCCCTGTCTGGAAACATTATCAATAGACTAGAATCAGCAGCTTCCCAGAACTCAGAGATCCACCTACCTCTGCCTCCCGGGTGCTGGGATTAAAGACACGTGCCACTAGCCACCCGGCATGATAACCCCAACACTTCTTCTGTGTCTTCTCTGTGCAACCATGTCTGTCTTGAAACTTGCTCTGTAGAACAGGCTGGCCTCCAACTCAAGAGATCCACCAGCCTCTGCCTCCTGAGTGTCAGGATTAAAGGTGCACGTATAATTTTTTAAAGTTACATTCATCTGTCTGTTTATTTGTGTGTTTGGCAGGAGATTGGGGGGAGTAGGCCAGGTTGGCCTCAAGGGATTGTGCCTCCCCTGTACAGGCTTTTAAATGTTGTATGTATTGTTTCTTCCATGTACAGAGTACATTTGCTAATTATGCCTTATGAACTATAGGAAATAAAATCCAGAATGGAAACAACATCCAAAAAGAGTTACTTTAAAATGTTGTCTTGTTAACAACATTGGCTGGTCTTTCAGAGGACCAGGGTTCAATTTCCAGTGCCCACAAGGCAGCTAAAAACTGTCTGTAACCCAGTTCCAGGGGATCCAATACCCTCATACAGACATGCGTTCGGGCAAGGCACCAATGCACATGAAATAAAAATAAATCAATTAGGGCTGGAGAGATGGCTCAGTGATTACTAACACTGTCTGCTCTCTTCCTGAGGTCCTGAGTTCAATTCCCAGCAACTGTATGGCGGCTCAGGACCACCTATAATGGGATCTGATGCCCTCTTCTGGCGTACAGGTGCACATGCAGACAGAGCACTTGTATATATAAATAAAGAAATCGTTAAATTACTAATTGAAAATGTTAGTCTGTAATATGTATAGTACATGAAAGCAGCTGCTCTCAAACATACAGTAAGCAAGCAGCCAAAACCGTTACCTCGGGAGCATACACGGAATCAGCAGGGCTTGGTGGTGAAGACACTGGGGAGGATTAAACATAAGGATCAAGGCCATCCCGCATAACACAGGATGATTTTGTCTCAAAAGAAATTCTATTGTTTTATTGTCTCATTTGAAACACACCCCAGGGAATCTAGAATTTCTCAGGGAAAGATTGTTCAATTCCTTGCATTCATGAAAACTGATTACAAAAAGACCTAGGAGATGTTGGAAGGGGGATCAAGCCTCAGGTCTGCATGGGCTACATGAGGCCCTGCCTCAAAAATATTAAAACAAAGAGAAAGAAGAAAAGAAGGAATGGAGTGTCTGTCACAGAGGGTTTGAGCCAAACAATCGCACGGAGCTCCAGACCAGCCTGGCCTACAGATTGAAATTCTCTCAGCAAATATAAAATAAAGACATAAAGATGAAAACATGCTATTTTTTTAAAAATTCACTTATTTATTTTATGTATATGAGTGCTCTATTTGGACATATACCTGCACGCCAGAAAAGGGCATCAGATTCCAGTATAGATGGTTGTGAGCCACCCTGTGGTTGCTGGGAATTGAACTCAGGACCTTTGGAAGAGCAGCCAGTGCTCTTAACCTCTGAGCCATCTCTCCAGCCACCCCCACACACACATACTATTTTTAATTAAAAAATAAAAATGTATTATTATAACAAATGGGCCACGGCATGTGTCTGAAGGTCAGCTTTGTGGAGGGTGCTCTCTTCTTCTACCAGGAAGATTCCGGGGATCAGACGCCTGCTTGTCAGGCCTTCCCAGCAGTCGCTGTGATTACTCACACCAGGAGGATGGCATCCTCCTGGTGAGGAAAGCTGTGGAAGTGAAGTACACTGATCTTGTTTGTGAAGGTCTGTCCTGGTACCTGGTGCTAACTTTTATTGTTTCACAGACTGAAGCGTTCAGTACTGTGACTTACTACACGATATGCCCGTCATAGGCATGAATTCATTGCAGAAGTTATGTGGTTTCCATTACTTTGGAAAAGTAAGGTTTTCTTTCGCCTTTAACTAATAACAAAAACAACCACCTCATTTGGCAGTTACTAGGCAACGCTGTCCGGACCAAACCACTCCGAAAAAGTGAGAGGGAGGTGATGGTACAGCTGTTTATATTTTCGAAAAGGAAATTAGTCTTAATAGTGGTTGCTAGGCAATGCCTGGGCATACCACCATCTTTGATTCGGGCAAGATATTTACCACAATGGAATGAAAAAGCCACGCCGACGTCGTTGCTAGGCAACGCCTGAGCACTGCCCCCATCTTCAACCAGGTTTTTTTTTTTTTTTTTAAATAAATTAGCATGTCTATTATTACAGCACGCAAGAAGGTTGCTAGGCACCACCTTGGCACCATCTTCATTCGCGTTTACAAAGGATGTGAATCTGCCCAGGAACAACTCATTTGGCAACATTTGGCAACAACATTTGGCAAGCAGTACCTGTCGCCATCTTTGTTAGGGTCACGATGACTTCCGGCCGGGGCGGAAGAGAATCTAATCCATTTGTAGGGTCTGGGTTGATAAGGGTGGGAATTTGGTCAGGCCGCTCCTTGCCCTCTGGCGGCTCCAAACAGCGGGCCGACTTGCTCTGACTACCCGCCTGCTCCCAGATCCAAACGGAGAGTCCCCAGGGGGTGACTTTCGGGGTTCGGGCTTACAGATGGGCGATGAGGGGCCGGGAAGCACGGTGCATCTGCTGTGCCTCGCAGCCTCCAGCGGGGTCCCCCTCTTCTGCAGGAGCAGCAGCGGCGGCGCCCCCTCCCGTCCACAGGTGGGACACTGAGCTCCTGCATCTAAATAAGAAAGGGTTTGGGACGCTGGGGCTGCGTCGCTCTCCGGGAGGAGAGGCTGGGGCCTTTGGCCGATGCGGGGACTAATAAGCCCGATTTCCTGAAGAACTTTGAGGGAATTGGGGTGAGGCTGCCAACTGGGACACCAGGGTTTCAATGGGGAGGCCTCGGGAGCTGCCGCAATGCTTCCCCACTCCTCCACAGCTCCCTTTCTCTGTCATCGGCTCCCTCAATGGAGTCCACATGTTCGGGCAGAATCTGGATGTGCAACTGAACTCTGCAAGAACGGAAGACACGACCGTGGTGTGGAAGAGCTTCCATGACAGGTCCCCTGGCGGAGCAAGGGAAGAAGAGACAAAACCTGGGCAATGGTTCCTGGCTTAGGTGATCCCAGAGCCGTGTCGTCTGTAACGTGTCTGTGGGAGCTTTGAAAAGCTGCTCACTCTCTCTGAGCCCTGCCTTTCCCTGTCAGGATGTAGGCAGCAGTGTGGGAATCGCTGGCAGACACAGAAGCACCTGGCCCCGTTTCCCAGGCCTGGCCTCATCCTTGCTTCTCCTCTTTCATCCACACAGTGTCACGCTCATTGTGCTGTCAACTGAGGAGGGCACCTCTGAGCTGAGGCTAGAAAGAATGCTGCACATGGTGTTTGCAGCCATGGTGAGACTGGGCCCTCTTCTCTCCAGAAGTCAAGTGCTCTGCCCTCCATGCCCCTTTCCCTCAGTCCAGACCTCAGCCCCAGGGATCCAGGCCTATCTAAGCACTGTCCTCTGACCAGAACCTGCTAAGGATCCCACTCACCTGTGTGCCTCTTCTAGGTTCTCATCGTGGGACTTGAGGAGCTGACAAATATCAGGAATGTAGAGAGACTGAAGAAGGAACTGAGGGTGAGGCTGTGGGCCACCAGGGCCTCTGGCTGGAACTACAATTCCCAGTAGGCACTGGAACAGCATGGGCACATAGGTTCTTTGGGGGGGAGGGGTGTTCAACCCTGGAGCTGGCCCCTTTCTCTGGGCTGATCTGGGCCCACTTGAGTCCTAGACCTCTCTTTTTGTCTTGTACTAGGCCAGCTACTGCCTCATCGACAGCTTCTTGGGGCACTCAGAGCTCACCGGGGACCTGACGCAGTGTGTGGACTGTGTCATTCCTCCAGAGGGGGCCTTGATGCAGGTACTGGGGCAGCCAGAGGAATACCTACACCTGTGCCGGAACTCCGGCAGCCTCATTTCCTCCCCTCTGGAGGGCGGGTGTCCTAGCACCCTCTTATCGTCCGTCCTGGAACCAAGTTTTACCTGGAACTCTTCCTAAAAGAACTTCCTTCACCAGAGTGCCCGACTGTCCCAGCTGCAGCTTCCTCTTCTGTAGGTCAAGCTCCCTGATTCTCTGTCTTGCAGGGAACTCCTCCTTGTCTAAGCAAATCCCTAGT